ACCAAAGTAGATATTTCTTTAGACAGATAAACATTGGTAGCCTTGGATACTAGTACATTTATTATTGCTTCTTGGGCCAGCTGAATTATGTAGAGAGTATAACATAAGGTCCCATGTGCCAGGAAATTCTTCAAACTCTTGTGGTGTGAACGAAGAGCTCTGTTGGCAACACTAAGGTCCAGATCTAATGACATGTTACTGTATAGCTGTGTCCTTCCGTTCAAGCCAGGGCTATGTAGTTATAACACCAGCCAAGAGTGCATGAGAGCATAGCCCTCCCAGCAGCGAGGGCCTCCCATACTGAGGCTGGAAAGGGACATTTCAAATCAGATCCCAGATGCCATTGCTTTTGTTTTAAAATCTAAATTTCAGGACAATTTGTCATACTGCTGCATACCTAGATTGATCTTAATTATCTCATAAACATCAAATAGACTTAATCAAACTCCTGAGCAGACTTCCATTAATTAATGGTCTGACATCTTCCTGTTCTATTTTAGCACTGATGTTAAGTTAGTTGTTTGGTAAGGCGCAGTATATTCCATAAAAACTGACAACTGAATTGAGTCAGCTGTGTCTTAGTTAGGGTTTACTGCTGTGATCAGACACCGTGACCAAGGCAACTCTTAAAAGGATAACATTTAATTGGGGCTGGCTTACAGGTTCAGAGGTTCAGTCCATTATCATCAAGGCAGGAGTATGGCAGCATCCAGGCAGGCACGGTGCAGGAGGAGCTGAGAGTTCTCCATCTTCATCTGAAGGCTGCTTGCAGAATACTGGCTTCCAGGCAGCTAGGATGAGAGTCTTGAAGCCCACGCCCACAGTGATATACTTCCTCCAACAAGGCCACACCTACTCTAACAAGAGTAGAGTTCTACATCTCCTAATAGTGCCACTCCCTGGGCCAAGCATATTCAAACGACCACAAGTTGTTTGGTAGTATCTAGCACAGTCTAGAACACAGAAAACTTAGCTGACTCAGTACGTAGGCAAATGTGCAGGACATAGAAGAAGAAAATCATGAAAAGATCTCATGCTCTCTGACACAAACCCATTTCCTGCCTATATTTATTTACAGTTGATAGCTTTTTACTGCACTCTGAAAATTATTTTTGTACAGGAAAGCTCACTGTCGCTCCTTAGTAACTCAAAAACTAAGAAAATGAAGTCTTAGCATGCTGCCTCCTTGCAACAAAACAATAGGCGCCATGCTTAAAAAGCACATATCTAAGGTCAATTTTAGTTTAAAAATGTGGGCATGGTTTAGTTTTTCTATGGCTTTGCGTAGGGTGTCCCTTTCTTTGTCTAAGAAGGTCCAGAGGAAAGATATCTGATTGTTTGTAAATGAAGGAAGTATACTTAAATGATTTTATCTCTTTTACTATGCACTTTTGATTATGCATGTGTGTCTACGTGTGGGTATGTGCCTGTGTTTGCAGAAACCCATGGGCTCTAGAAGAGGGTACCAGATCCCCTGGAGTTGGAGTTATTAGACATTGACATGGTTCTGAGAGCAATGCTTGGGTCCTCTGTGAGAACAGAATGCACTTTTAATTACCACGCCATTTCTCTAGCCCCTAAGAAAGTCTATTCCCATGCTCTTTACACTGCTGGGCAATCCTCACAGGGAGCAGAGATCTCACTGGATTAAATCTTAGTAACAGTGAACACATACCTCGTATCATCATACTCATAATGGCAAGATCTAAGACTTTTTAAAAATTAAGCATGTACTTGTTTTAGAGTTCGTGATTAAAACATGCACGCTTCTTAGTGAGCATTTAAGTCTTCCTACCCAGAAGACACAGTCTATACTATGAGTTGTCTGACACCCAAGACAAAGTGGCCGGACCTGCCTTGTGGCAGCCTGTGAGTGGCCATGATGTCTCTTTATGGTATATGATGTTGGGGGCATAGAATTCCTTGTCTCTTGTTTCCAGTATGGCCACACTGATAATGACACCAACTTCTCAAAAAGGTAGAGGATTTCATGGACTAATAGAAACATTCAACATACTTAAGGCTGTATACTGGGAGCAGAAACATTTAATATACATAATGCTGAATCCTGGGAGCCTCGCTTTTCTTATTTACCCCTCTCAGAGTTTGAAAAGAAAGGAAACCATGTGTGTTTGTGTGTGTGTGTGTGTGTGTTTGTCTGTCTGTCTGTCTGTGTAATGTATGCACTGTGTACATACTTGTGCACGTGTGTGTTAGAGTGTACATGCACATATGTGTGTATTCACAGGACAGCCAGAGTTAGACCTTGGGTATCTTCCTCTTTCCCTCTCTAATCACTTAGTTATGATTTCAATTTGTTATTTGAGAACTCCATACATGGATACAATGTATTACAATTATGTATTCCCCCAACCCAACTCCACTGAATCCTGCCCCACTCCATTTCCAATTTCATGCTCTCTTTTTTCAATCTGTTGAATTCAATTTATGTTACACACATACACATACACATACTCATATATATACACATACACACACA